CCGTACCTACCGTACCGTACCTACCGTACCTACCTACCTACCTACCTACCTACCTACCTACCTACCTCCTACCTCCTACCTCCTCCTACCTCCTCCTCCTCCTCCTCCTCCTCCTCCTCCTCCTCCTCCTCTCTCTCTCTCTCTCTCTCTCTCTCTCTCTCTCTCTCTCTCTCTCTCTCTCTCTCTCTCTCTCTCTCTCTGTGCTTACATGCTTTTAATTGCAGTTAAGTTGGCGATGCTGGGTGGAATTTTTCCGGAGAGACCGAAGCCAGTGAGATTCCTGCAAGTCATGAAATGTCTCACATAACAAGATACGAATCGGAGGAACAACATACAGAGTCTCAACATATAGAATCTCACAGTGAGAGGACGCGTATGTGGTCGCCATCTGAGCATGTGACACCTTTCCACGAATTCTCCTTAGGCATGCAGGGATCACCTCTCCAATCTGGAGGTGGGTTATTCAAACTCCTTGCCAGATCTTCCATGGCGATCACTGTTACAGATGCCCGAAAAAGGATCACTTAAGGGCCCATTTGGCTTATTGGATTCAGATTATCAGGAGTCAGAAAAAGTGAGTGAATCGTATTTGGTTTGTTTAAAATTGACATTTATGTTGGAATTGAGATTTGTATGGGATTCCTGAAAGCTCATTTTAAACCTAACTTTTAGAAATCTATTGGCATTTCATGAAAATGATCCATTTCCTGCTGAGGAACAAAAAAAAAAAAAAAAAATTTTAAGAGAGAAACTATATCAAATTTTAAAGAGGGAAAACATATTAAAATTTTAGAGAGAGAAACTATATCAAATTTTAGAGATAGAAATTATAGGAAATTTTTTAGAGAGAAAATATACAACTTTTTTTTAGTGAAAAACTATCTCAAATTTTTAGATAGAGAAATAATCTTAAATTTTAAAATTTTAGATAGAGGAACTACATTAAATTTTAAAGAGATGAACTTCTTATATTTTTTTAAAGAGAAATATCTCAAAACATTTAAATAGAGAAACTACTAGAAAACCTTAAGAGAGAAAGCTATATGAAATTTTAAGTTTTAGAGTGAGAAAGTATATTCTCTCTCTCAAATTTTAGATAGAGAAAATACTTGAAATATTTAGAGAGAAACTATTTAAAAAATTTAGATAGAGAAACTATTTCAAATTTTAAATTTTAGAGAGAGAAGCATATTAAAATTTTAGAGAGAGAAATTACTTGAAAATTTTAAAGAGAAACTATCTCAAATTTTAAGTTTTAAAGAGATAATATATTAAAGCTTTAGAGAGAGAATTTTTTTAAAAATTTTGGATAAAGTACCTAAAATTTTAGATAGAGAGAGAGTATTTGAAAAATTTTACATAAAAAAACTATCTCAAATTTTAAGTTTTAGAGAAAGAAAGTATATTAAAATTTTAAAGAGAAAAACTACCTGAGAATTTTAGAGAGAGAAACTATCTCAAAATTAAAGTTTTAAAGAGAGAAAGCATCTTAAAATTTTAGGGAGTAACTATATCAAATTTTACAGTGAGAAAGTACCTAAAATTTCTTAGAGAGTGAAACTATATTAAAATTTTTAAAAAGAAACAATCGCAAATTTTAAATTTTAGATAGAGAAAGTACTTTGAAATTTTAGAGAGAGAAACTATATCATATTTTAGAGAAACTGCCTGAAATTGTTTAAAAAGATAAACTATATGAAATTGTTTAGAGAGAGAAACTATCTCAAAATTTTTATAGAGAGAAACTGTCTAAAAATTTTTATAGAGAGAAACTATTTCAAATTTTAAGTTTTAGAGAGAAACTATCTCAAATTTTAAGTTTTGGAGAGGAACTATTTCAAATTTTAAGTTTTTGAAAGAAAGTATTAAAATTAGAGGGAAACTATTTCAAAATTTTTAGATTGAGAGAGAAAAATGATTTGTATTTTTAAAAAATAGATATTGGAGATAATCCAAACAGGAATTTGCTTGATTTCTACTAGAGATGTTCCGGACAATCCAAATAGGGACTTGCACTTTCTTGATTTCTACCATCCAAACAGGGAACTGACTTTTCTAGGAAATCTCAATTCCAGAAAATCTAAATTTCCAGCGATCCAAAGGGGCTATTACATATGTAATTGAGCCAGTAAGCGCAGGAAAATATTAGCGCCACTGTAAAGAGAAGAATTATTGAGGGAGGGAGCTGGTAGTCTGTAATTCGGGAGAGAAGCTTAGAATACATACAGTCCCTAGTGACAGTCCGCCCGTGGAGAACCAGCAACTGAAACATCTCGGCCGCATTGATGATCGGCCCCACCTCCGACCCCGCCACTGGATGCAGCTCGATCTGTGTCGCCCCCTCTAGCAGCCACTGTGCTGCAAACACATTCACGCCGGCCGTCGTCACATTCAGGCCCTTATAGAACACCTTACCGTTCACCACTATATCAAACACCCTCCAATTTCCGTTACTCCTCTCATCCTGAAAATACAACGCAACATAATAACTTGCCCTCGGCAACTCCAGCGCCGGCCACTGCAATCTGATCCCGTCCTTTTCTTTGGCTGCTAAGCCATTTTCGAAGACTTTGTTCGGTGGCAAATTCCAAAAATCGGTTTCCAAAGCCTCCACTTTTGATCTCACTTCCTGATACCTGCTGGTTGTGAATGGCTGCCAAAATCGGTTAAATTTATCTTCTGGATACTTGATCACCGGTTCCGACCCACCAAACCAGTGGTGGGCAATGGTGCTCAATGCATATTTTGAGAAATCGGTCGCGTTGTACAGCGAATCCGGAAGCCATTCGAGCTCAATGGCGTTGATAAATGGACTCCTATCTGGTTCAGTGTGCTTATTTCTGACTAAACAAAGGCTTAGGGTTTTTCCTGAAGCTGAGATTATTATTTCGTAATAAGAGGAGAGGCCTTTAGAGTATGCGAAGGTTGTGTTCACTGTGCTCCATTTCGTTCCATCGATGATTTGGTCAAATACCGGCGGAGACGTTAAGTTGTCGAAGGAGCCATAAAAGTAGGTGGTGCGGAGGAGGTAGCGGCTGCCTTTGATGACAGGGAAGGTGTAACAGTGTTTGTGGGCGGCTGTAAAATGGCGGAGGGTGGAGAGGGTCGGGCGGAGTGGGTGAGGTGAGGGGAGGGTGGCTTTGGTGCCGGTGTAGATGAAGCCGTCATCAGGGATCCAGAGGAGGGCGCCATCATGGGTCTGGTTGGAGGCGCCGCAGTCAATGAGGAAGCCTGAATTAGATTATGGATTTTTGTTGTGAGAAACCGAAAACGGATAGGTATAGAAAGAACCAGTGAAATTCAGGCAGAGAAAACATACCTATCCAAATTCTGGAAATCAGAGAGAAAGAGTTTGGACGTACCTGTCGGGGGCGGGACAGCATGGGTGAGAGAAAGGATGCCGAGCAGACATACGAGAAGAGAGAGAGACATGGTGGAGGTGGAGGTGGAGGTGGAGAAGATGGAATGGAATTGATGTACCACCACCGGAAAAACAACCAGCATGGAGGATGGCATGTGCATGTGCATGGAGTTCGGCCTTGTGACGGATGGGGAAAGGAAGTCGTGTTGGGGAGGAAATAGCGGTCTCATTTGAAGTTTAGGCCTCTCGATATGTGAGACTGAGGGATCATTGACACATGGAGAGAGATTTCTCACGATTAATTTTAGCCATTGGATCTGCTATTTAATAATGTGATATAATGCGTGATTGATGTTATTTAAATCTTAGATATGACAAAAAAAAAACATAACCTGAATCACCGGATCACACGTCTTAGTTGCCTCCTTGTAAAAAAAGTTTCCTATAATAAACTTGTTCATTACAATGCTACAAATTAATGACAAGCAATCCTTTTCTTAGGGAAAAGGTTTATTGAGAGTCGAGGTTCTAAACAATCAAATTAGAGCCTACCTCTAAAATTTCATTAGAAGAGGTTGTCTTGATTCTCAAATATCCTCAAATTGATCATCTCGATATCAATATGTATGGACATGAGAAAAACAATAGATTTCAAGTTTTGAAAATCGTGCATCTTGTAACACATTTTTCGACCGTCAATTTCATATATTTGTTTTTTCTACACTATTTTTGAAGCTTTTAAATTTTATAACTTAATATGAAAGTATAATTTAAGGCTATCACAAAGGTTTTCAGTGATAAAACCACATTTCTCAACACCATTTGAAGGTGTACTTTGATTGTTTAGAGCCTGGGCTCTATACAAACGGCACCCAGTTTTAGTGGTTTTAAGGAAGGCCACAATGATAAGTTACCTAACTAATTCCAATAAACATGTCTCTGTAACTGTAACTGTAATGAGGAGGAATGAATGGAGGAGGGTTTTATTAGTTTCCGAATTATAAGGGGCTATGTTTTTGGTGGACCTCATGTACCAACATTACAATCCGCCACATATTGCTGCAAATAACGACTCTTACTAACAAATCGAAAACCTTATTGAGCACGTTACAACACGTTAAACAACCTATTTGGACAGGTCATCGGGGTTAGTGCACATGAGAAGATTTTGTGACTCAAAATAAAGGGATTCCTACCGTTAAATAATAATAATAATGATAAAATAAAAGATGAGGTTTAGAGACTTTTTTTAAAACAAAATAAAACTTCATCTCAAATCCTTGTTCGGAAAGCACGTTAGATAAAAACAAATCTCTACAATGGTCTTAAAATCAATTTTCAACACATACAATAAAATTTGAAACTAAAAAAATAGTGTAAATCTTGAAGATATGTGAACACTTATTTTTAAAGCGAAATAGACTGCTTAGATAATTTGTTATAATATACACTATTTTTAGATTTTGAAATCTTAATTTTTTTTACAATCATAATGTTCAAGTCGAGATGATTGATTGAAAGGTTTTCCAACCCGTATATTGTAATTTTGGATGAGTTAAGAGGTGAGGCTTTACATACTTTGATAGGGTTGCATCCCTATCAAATCATTTTCTTAAAATAAAAAATGATGGAGAAATAGTTTTTCTTTTTTTCTTTTTTGTGGTTTCGGCCTCTTGCTGTAAACTCGAATGAAATATTTTTTCGGGACAGTACGAGAAATGGATTCCGGCAACTTACTCCCCACCTTGTGAGGTGGGGATCTCTTTTCACGCCATTTGCTCATTGTGGTGGTAAAACCTTTTTTCTTAGGTTGTGGTTGGCATACGGATGCAGCCGTAGCTGTAGAGGTAAGGTGCACCTTCAAATTTTATCATGGTATATAATTTTGATGTAAAATATTCTTAAGATTATCTCAAAATCTATTTTATATCTAATTATAAAATTTTAAATTTAAAAAATAGTTAAAATCAAATAGATCTATATACATATTGAAATATTGAAAATGGACGGTGTAGATAATATGTTGTAAAATGCACTATTTCTGAGACTTAAAATTTTTTTATTTTTTGTGGTCATTCATCTCGATGTCGAGATGTTCAATCAAAAGGCTTTTCAATATTAAAACTACCTTTTCTGATGGATTTTTGAGGTGCATCCGTAGTTCCACGTTATAAAGTTGCATCCTTATATAAACTTTTTCTGTTTTCTTTGAGGGATAAGTTTTCATGGGTTTTACTCACGAACCAAACGTTCGTAACTGTATGTTTCACATGAAAGCTGTTTCATGATGCAAGTTTTCTTATGAACCAAACGAGAGAGTCACGATCCCTTGTGGCTGCCACATTTTGAAATTAAATAGCTACTAGTAGAATTTGATGGAAACATTTTTGGAAAATTAAATGCAGTTAATATCACACTCTCACCTATCCCATTACAAGTGCAATAGCTGAAAGTGATAATGGCTTTTCTTTATATTTAATATAATGGTGAGGTTTGTATAGAGCCGAGGCTCTAAACAATTAAATTAGAGCCAACCTTCAAATAGTGTGGAAAAATATAATTTCAATATAGGAAATTTTTGTGATAGGCTTAAAATATATTTTCATCTTTAATTATAAAATTAAAGCCTAAATAAAAGTGTAGATCGAGCAGATCTATGAGAAGTTGAAAATCTTGAAACTTGACGGTCTAAAAATATATTACCAGATGTACTATTTCCAAAACTTGAAATATGTATCTTGATGTCGAGATGATCAATTTGAGGATATTTGAAAATCAAAACAATCTCTTCTAGTGAAAATTATGAGATATGCTCTTATTTGATTGCTTAGAGCCTCAGTTCTATGTAAACTTTTTCCTTAAGATAAATGGTATTGTTGTATTATTCTTAAAAAAATGTCATGACGTTTTTTTTTTACACTTAAAGATAAATGATATTATTGTATTATTCTTTAAAAAATATAGCAAATTACGTGCGGACACTATTGGGAGGGGTCAATTACCATTTGGTGTCTATGACATTTTTTTTTTTTTCTAAGTTGCCCTTGTCCGGCAATGCAAACATCGACTATGATTCTTTTTAAATTATTTATTGCAAATTCTTTTCAAATTCTTTTTGAAAATTTGGTGACCCGATCTGAAATTGAGCGATCTGGATCGAGTATCGTCTAGGCCGGTTGCCCCCTATCCGGCAATGCAAACACCGAATATGATTCTTTTCAAATTCTTTCCTGAAAAGAAGTGTTTGAAAATTTGGTGACTCGATCCGGAATCAGGTGATCCGGATCATGTATCATCTAGGCTGTCCCGGATCTAGCAATTAAATGAGGGATTCGGTGTTTTTCCAATATGTTTAGTGGTTTAAAAAATGGATCGGTGCTCCGGATCGGACACCTCAAAAACCCATTCGGATCGGTGAATTGGCGTTTCGGATGGAGAATCGGCCGAATCGGTTGGATTCGACGCCTTAAAAAAAAAATCCAAAAAAACTATTAAAAATCATTATAAATGTTGCTTTTTAAGAATCCAATAAGAAATGGGAGGTACTACATAAAGAACTTTCATTTTTTTGCATCAATATAAGAATATTCAGATGTTTTTTCCCTGTATGAACTACTGTTAACCATTAAATTTACATCACACAAAAAAAAAAGCATAAAATTATCATGGATGAAGTATATCATCATACATGAACTACAATAAAATATACAATTCATAAAATATGACCTAATACCAAAATAAAAGACGATATTGTTCTTCATCTCTTGCTAACCCTATCCATCCACCCTCTCTCTTTTCTCTCTCTCAAAAGCTCCCCCAATGCGCTGGGAGCACCAATGGCTCGTTTTTCTCTCTAAAAATTGCATGAATTCGAGGCATGGTCTGGGTTGCTTTCTCAATGGCTTTTCCTAAGAATGAGACTGAGACCTTGATCCAATAATTGAGCTTGAGGTTAACAAGGGCAGGCTTAATGGAGTTTAAGGTGGGCATGAGTGATGCGAACTCTTTCTAATTTAAAATTTCTCTACTCAGTATGATGCTACTGATATTGAGATGGGAGGAATTCGACTCAATAGCTTTTAGTCCAGGGAACTGCTAGGGTTTCTGAGTTCTACAGGCTGTTGATTTCTTCTCTTGATACAAAAAGATCCAAGGTCATTGCACAGTTACACAACCCCTATAGTATATAGGATTTGGGGGCTTGAAAGAAGCACCTTGGTTTTCATGGCAAGTGTCTCATTGTTTTTCAAGAGAGAGAGATAGTCCCCTTTAAACTTATGCTTCTTGCATCATACCAGAAAGCCACTCGAGATCCTGGTTATTTAAAATTTTAAAGAAAAAATGCCATTAAATTTTAATCAAGAATTACATTGAACACTCTAGTATTCACAGATGCCCCATCTTTTGGAAAATGATAACTCTAAATTGAGGAGACAATCAGAAGCAGGAGATGGAAAATATAATCATATTCTTTTTTTATTTTCATCGAATCATCTCATTTTGTACTTTCTCTCTCTTGAAAATTTCAAGTACTTGTGGTCTATGCACCTAAGCAACAGAGTGTGAGACGAGTGATGATAAAGAAGAGGAACTTAGCATCCAAATGACCCATTTGTTTATATCCTTGAAGCAGAGTTTTGAGTTTTTGGAGTGAATTGCAAGAGACCCAATTGGTTTTTAAATGTGCTACCAAGCATATGAAATTATCAGATAAGTCTTAATACAATAGTAACCTAGTTGTTCTCAAGAATTTGTTTAACACATTGCGTGGAAAATTTACAGGTGGAATTAGATGCAAAGGGTAAGGCTTTTTTTGAGAGAATATTTGACTGTATTAGTGCATTACTGATGAATATCAATTTTACTGGTGCAAAATACTAAACAACATAATTATTAACAAATAACAGTAAGTGTCAACAAATTCCCACATTGACAAATAAATATGACTAAATTCAATAAAACTCTTGTTTCGATAAATGTCCGATTTATCATTTTCTATCAGATATCATAGTTTTAAATATCAGAAATATCTATTTTTTCTTAAAATTATTAGTAGAATGCAGGGAAAACCAGATTACTGGAATCACAAAGAAACACCAGCTTAGCAATTGAATAAAAAAAATTTTATTTTTTTTTTTGCTGAAAAAGAGGAAGAACAAGAGCTCAAAAATTTTTGCTCAAAATTTGTTTATTAGTAAAATTAAAATATAAAACAACAAATAATCGTCCTAATTTTGATGAAAACTTGTTCTACCATAATCATTTAGCAAAAAAAAATAGATCAAATTGATGAAGAACAACCACAAAAATCGAGATTTGGCAGCATACCCTAATCCGCTCAAGAAAATTTCAGTCAAGAAATTTGCAATCCAGCATTTGTTTGGGGTTCAATCTAACCCC